GAAAGAAAGAAAGAAAGAAAGAAAGAAAGAAAGAAAGAAAGAAAGAAAGAAAGAAAGAAAGAAAGAAAGAAAGAAAGAAAGAAAGAAAGAAACATGTACAAGGAGCCACAGAGAAAATGTTAAGATGTAACTGTATAAAGTAAATAAATAATAATTAGAAAAAAAAGATGTAACAAATAATTCTATGCAATAATAGAATGATACAATTATAAAAAATATATATATAAATAAAATGCAATAAAAATCATACAAATCAACATCATCATCAAAAATAATAAAAAAATAAATATAACAATTATATAAACACTTATAAACAAACAAACAAACAAATACATGAATAAATAAACACATAAATAATAAATAGATAAATTAATAAACAATAATAGAATGATACAATTATAAAAAATATATATAAATAAAATGCTGTGAAAATCATATAAATCATCATAATCATCAAAAATAATAAAAATAAATGTAACAATTATATAAACAAACAAAAAACAAATGCACAAATAAATAAATACATAAATAATAAATGAATAAACAAACAAACAAATTAAATAAATAAATAAATAAATAAATAAATAAATAAATAAATAAATAAATAATAATCTACAAGCTCTGGACAGGGCAGAGCTCAGCCCCTGAGCAGTGAACATGGGCTGGTGGTTCTGGTGGAGTTTGTGGAGTTTGTGGAGTAGGTTGAGGCCCTTTTTCTGCCCTTCCTGGAGCAGCTCTGTCTCGGCCAATCAGCCGCTGAGCTGCGGACGCCACAGGAATCTGGGACCGTCTCGGGTTCGTCGTCAAAACAAACCGCAGCTCAACCTGCAATTTAACCGGCAAACGCTTTCCCAGACGGAGCTTCCCGGGCCAGAGGGGGAGACCAGACCACTTCCCCCCCAAACCCCCCAAACCCCAAACCCCCAGAGGGGGAGACCAGACCACTTCCCCCCCAAACCCCCAGAGGGGGAGACCAGACCCAAACCCCAAATCCTCCTCCAGAGGAAAACAACTCTCCATCTCAACAGAAATATCTGAAGGTTTCTGTTCGGTGAAGCTGAGCAGAACAATAAATACACAACGAACCTAAATATAGATTCTAGATCCAACTGAGAGCATCTCAGATAGTGTTTACATGAAACAGAATTTAGTCTTTTTTTTAGACAAATCAGAGATCCAAAACACGTTTCGGTATTTGAAACATTTATTTTAGTTATTTCAGAGATATTTTTCTTCCCACTGATGGAAACAATCTGAAGTAAGGAAAATAAACAAACATCAAACATACAGACAAACAAATCGATCAGCAAACAGATAAACAAACAAATGCATAAACAAATGATAAACACATGTATAAACAAACAATTAACACATAAACAAATAATAAACACATGTATAAACAAACAAACCAAAAATACATAAACAAATAATAAACACATGTATAAACAAACAAATAACACATAAACAAATAATAAACACATATATAAACAAACAAAAAATACATAAACAAATAATAAACACGTATAAACAAACAAACACATGCACAAATAAACAAATAAACAGACAAACCAATAAAACACAAACAAATAAATAAATAAATAAATAAATAAATACATAAATAAATAAATAAATAAATAAATAAATAAATAAATAAATAAATAAATACAGAGTCAGCAGGTAAAACAGCGGCTGATTGTCCTGATCATAGCAACAAGCTTCTTATTTTATCCACCTTATTTTATTTATTTATTTATTTAAACCTCTTATTGGACTGTTGCCTGTTATCTCTCTGTTTTCCCATGGGGATAAATGTAAAAAAGTAGAATTTTCCTCCTCTTTTTTCCCCCTTTTGCTGCTGTTGTGCAGCCTTATTTCCTTCTTTCTCTCTTTCTCTCTTTCTTTCTTTCTTTCTTTCTTTCTTTCTTTCTTTCTTTAGACCTTTCTTTAGACCTTTCTTTAGACCTTTCTTTAGATCTTTCAAAAAGAGGACATATAAATAAATAAATGAATAAATAAATGAATAAATAAATAAATGAATAGATAAATAAATAAATAAATAAATAAATAAATAAATAAATAAATAAATAAATAAATAAATAAATACACAAATAAATACACAAATAAATAAATAAATAAATAAATAAATAAATAAATAAATAGCAAAACCCCCTAAACTGACCCTGGAACTGGTCTGAATCCGGTTTTCTCCTCCTGGTCTCAGGATCCAGCCCCTGTCCGAGGCCCTGGACGATCTCTACAAGGAGTTCAACGCCCTGAAGGCGCACCTGGGAGACCTGACCGAGAAGTTCTCCGCCATCGAGGCCTTCATCGACGAGCTGAAGGCCGGCGGCCCCGCCCCGGGACCTGGTCCTGGTCCTGGTACTGGTACTGGTACTGGTACTGGTCCTGGTACTGGTACTGGTACTGGTACTGGTCCCGTCCCCAGGCAGACAGGGAGGAGGGTGATGAGAAAGAAGGCCACCTCCACCTCCAGCTCAACCTAAGCCTCCTTCAGACTCCTACTATCATCTAACCAGCTCCCTTCCCCTTTAAGCAAAGCTTTTATTTTGGCGGGTATCTCTGCTCTGGTCCAGATCTCTAGACTTTTTCCTGGTTCAGGTAGTTTTTCTTCATAGAGGCTCAGTGGGTTTATCTTTAGATTCAAAATGTCTTTTTATAAATTTAATTAATGATGAGAAGAATATGAGAAATGGGGCAAAAGGCAAGAAAAGACACAAAAAGTCCACCTGAAGACCAGAAAATGATTAGAAATGGACAAAAACTCCAATAAATGACCATAAAATGAAAGAAAATGTTCAGGAAAAGAGACAAATTGACCAAAAACAGATACAAAACATGAAGAATTGACATAATCAAGAATAAAAAGGCCTTTAACCTCCAGAGAGCCAAAGCTTTTATTTTGGTGGGCTTCTCTGCTCTGATACAGATCTCTGATCAGTTTAAGAACTGGACTCTGTCCTGTTTCAGGTAGTTTTCTTCATAGAGGCTCAGTGGGTTTATCTTTAGATTTAAAATGTGTTTTTATTAAATGAGAAGATGACAAATGGGGACTAAATGGTCACAAAAAGACCATTTAGAAGACCAAAAAGTCCTCCTGAAGACCAGAAAAGAGAGCCAAAGCTTTTATTTTGGTGGGCATCTCTGCTCTGTTCCAGAACTAGTTTAAGAACTAGACTCTGTCCTGGTTCAGGTGGTTTTTCTTCATAAAGGCTCATTGGGTTTATCTTTAGATTCAAAATGTGTGTTTATAAATTTGATTAATGATGAGAAGATGAGAAATGGGGACTAATAAGAAGACACAAAAAGTCCACCTGAAGACCAAAAAATGATCAGAAATGGACAAAAAACTCCAATAAATGACCATAAAATGAAAGAAAACGTTCAGGAAAAGACCAGAAAAAGAGACAAATTGACCAAAATCAGACACACAACATGAAGAATTGATATAATCAAGAATATTGGCCCGTTTGGATAACGTGTCTAAAAGTATTTAGATTTCAAACCGTAGTGTCTGATAGCACCTTTTTATGGAGATAAACTCATAATTTAGGAGCTTTGGTCCAACTGACAAAGGCGTCTGATGTTTATCAGCATTTTTTCTAGTTTCTGCCATCAATTAATGATCAAGGTAGCAACAAAAAAAACAAAAAATATATATATTTAACAAAAAAAAGATCAAAGCAGCTGTAAAAACCATTATAAGAGCCCTAGGGAACATTTTCTGCTTTTATTTCTAACCAAATAAAGAAATAAGTCACCACTGACATCAATTGTATTGATTAACAATGTAATTCTTCGTCATTAGAAAGTTTAAATCATTCCTTTGAATCATCAAACGCTTCATTTTAGCTGAAAACGAGAAGCAAAACCAGCTTAAACCCAAAGAACTCATCAGGTTTTTTACATTTACCGGCTTGTCTGTCTCTTTGCTTTATTGTCTGAGCTCCAAATAAACTCTTTCTCTGCATCAGTTTGTGGTTTTGGTCACTCTTTGGAATGTCTCTGATCTGCCTTTGATCTGAATCAGCCACTTAAAAGCCTCCAGATCAAAGGAAGACCTCCCAAAGAGGAGGGAGGTCATCAGGAGGCAGGTTCGGGCCAAAGGGGACATCTGTGTGGTTTCCCCCTGGTGGAGGGACGGGAACCAGGTCCTCCAAGAAACAGGCACATTTTCCAGGTTTTTCAAGGCCTAAAAACAATTTTAAAAATCTTTTTCCATGTGTACAAGCATATTTTCCATGTTTTTGCAGAATTAGGGAGACATTTAAAACCACTCTCATGGCCTAAAAACAATTAAAAAAAATATTTCCAGACGTGAAAAGAATTTTTTAAAATCTGTTTTTAGGTGTACGGACACATTTCTTATCTTTTCGCAGGCACACAAGCACTTTTAAAAGCTTTTCCCAGGTGTATGGGCACATTTTAAATATTTTTTCAAGCGTACAGGCACATCTTTTATCTTTTTCCAGGCCTAGAGGCACATTTTTCATCTTTTTGCGGACATACAGGCACAATTTCCATGTTTTTCCAGTTGTACAGACACTATTTTAAACTTTCTCCAGGTGCACAGGCACATTTTCCATCTTTTTCCAGGCGCACAGAAGCTGGATTTGCCCACTTTCTGTAACCGACACCCCGGGAGGGTTTGGTCCAAAGGGGACAGCTGTGTGGTTTCCCCCCGGTGGAGGGACGGGAACCAGGGCCTCCAGGAAACATTTTCCAGGTTTTTGCAGAACTGTGGAGCCATTTAAAACCAGTTTCAAGGCATAAAAACTATTTAAAAAAATTATTTCCAGACGCAACAATTTTTTAAAATCTGTTTTCAGGTGTACAGGCACATTTTTCTTCTTTTTGCGGACATACAGGGACAATTTATGTTTTTCCATGTGCATAGTACCATTTTCCAGGCGTACAGGAACATTTTCTATCTTTTTCTAGGTATATGGGGACTATTTCCCTGTTTTCCCAGGCGCACAGACACTATTTTAATAATTTTCCAGGTGCACAGGACCATTTCCATGTTTTTTCACGCTTACAGACACTATTTATAACTTTTTTCAAGCGTACGGGCACATTTTCCATCCTTTTTCAACCGTACAGGCACATTTTCCATCTTTTTTCAAGCGTAGAGGCGCATTTTCCATCTTTTTGCAAGCGTACGGGCACATTTTCTATCTTTTTTTGAGTGCACAGACACATTTTCCATTTTTTTCCAGGCATATGGGCACAATCTCCACGTTTCTCCAGGCACACAAACACTATTTTAAACGTTCTCCACGTTTCACAGGCACATTTTCCATGTTTTTTCACGCTAACAGACACTATTTGTAACTTTTTTCAAGTGCACAGGCACATTGTCCATCTTATTCCAGGCATATGGGCACATTTTCCATCTTTTTCCAGGCGTACAGACACTATTTTAGTAATTTTCCAAGTGCACAGGCATAATTTCCATGTTTTTCCAGGCACACAAACACTATTTTAAACTTTCTCCACGTTTCACAGGCTCATTTTCCATGTTTTTTCACGCTTACAGACACTATTAGTAACTTTTTTCAAACGCACAGGCACATTTTCTATCTTTTTTTGAGTATACGGGCACATTTTCCATGTTTTTCCAGTCGTACAGCGTCTATTTCAACCTTTTTCCAGGCGTGCAGAGGCTGGTTCTCCCTTTTTCTGTGGCACTCCCTCCTTCCCTCCTGCCCCCCCCCCCTCGTGGGGGACAGAAACCCTGCTGGGACTCACTTTCACGCCTTAATCTGGAGGCTGGAGCCGTTTCCCCGTCGGGTTCAAAGGATCCGTGAGGACTTTGTGAAGAAGAAGAAGAAGAAGAAGATTTGATTTGATTTTCAAAAAACCTTTATTGACTTTTTTTTTTCTCCTCTCACTCCACGAAGAAGAAGAACTTCTGGAACAAACTCCCAACAAACAACAGGGAACGTCCCACTTTTTGCACATTTAAAAAGCACCTTAAACTGTTTCTCAAAAGTTCCCAGGCATGCAATCACTCATTTTAATTTTGTAATGTCATTTTCTGAACGTGTGTTTGGACTGATTTTGTATTGTGTGATTTTGTGTTGTTTGGTCTTCCCGCCTCAGATGTAAACTAGCAACTATGCTATAATCTGGCTCATTTACAATCTGTATGAGATTGTTCATTAATGTGCACTGTCCTGATGAAATAAATAAACAAATAAATAAATAAAATAAGAAGAAGAAGAAGATCTCCTCCTCGTTATCCATCACCAGAATATCTGCTCTCAACTCTTTCTGCCAGAAAAGAAACTTGGAGATATAAATAAATGTTTCATTTATTGTTCCGATGAGTTTTGGGGTATTTTTAGGATGTTTTTTTTTTTTTTTCCTTCGGTTTTCTCCTACTCTCCCAACTAATCCATTTTTTACAAAAAAAAAAAAAAAATAGTTATAATGATATATGTTGTAAATATAATCAATATATTAGTTATTATATTAACACATTATTAATCCATTATACACATGATCACAATTATAAATATACATATGATAAATATAATTAATATATTGATTATTATTAATTTAATACAGTATTAATACATTATCAAAACATTATTATAATTATCATAATTATGATGATATATTGAATAAATATACATATTATATTAGTTATCATTATATTCATAAATTATATATAATCTGTTCACTGCACCTACTTTACTTGTACTTTAACCAATACTGTTTATTCATACATTTTTATATTGCATTTATATTGTAAATATCTATCTCAGTTCAGGAGTCCTGAGCTCAGTAACTCATTAAGTCTTTATTATTTCTGATAATTACTGTGTTATAATAAATACTGTGAGCAGGTGGTTTTAAATAAGAGCAGATAGGAGGCTCAGTTATTTGTTATTGTTAATTAAAACGCTGACAGGAAGCTGATTGGACGCTATTTCTGTAACTCAGAGCAGCTCCTAATGGAAAGCTTTGATTCTTTGCTCCGTGTTGAAATTTGGCCAGAATGTATCTGTAAACATGAACAAATATATGTAAACATTTAGATATTATAACTAGTTTCCTCCAGCTTCAATTCAATTCAAAGAGCTTTAATTTATGCTCTGACATTTCACAAAATCCACCTTTTACTGGGTTTCTCCCCTTTATTTACAAAGTTTTTCTTTGATTTTGGTCTTAGCTTCTATATCTGATAGTTTTGTGTTGGTTTTGTATGTCTTTGATGGTTTCATTTTATATTTATTACGTATCGGTTGGGTTTCTCCCCTTTATTTACATATTTTTTTCTTTGATTTTGGAATAATTTAGCTTTATATGTGATAGTTTTATGTTGTTTTTATGTGTCGTTGTGATGGTTTTATATTTATTTCATATTTATTGTTTATCTGTTAGGTTTCTCCCCTTTCTTTTCTCATTTTTTCTGTAATTATAGTATAATTTGTATTCTATATGTGATAGTTTTATGTTGGTTTTGTGCGTCTTTGTG